CGGCTGCCCCCGTGTACGCTGCGCCAGGCTCTCACCTTTTTCCTGGACATCACCTCCCCGCCCAGCCCTCAACTTCTTCGTCTGCTCAGCACCCTGGCTGAAGAGCCCAGTGAACAGCAAGAGCTCGAGACCCTCAGCCAGGTGGGGGCCACCCCAGTGGGGAGCAGGGGCCGGTGAGGCAGGACGAGCCAGGATGGGAGCCCACCTGGCTATCGTGCTGGGGCTTTAAGACCCAGCTCTGGAGTTCCTACTCATCTCTGAATTCTCTCGCCTTAAAGAAGCACGGAGGGGACTTCCCTGGCGGCCCAGTGGTTAAGACTCTGCGCTTCCACAGCAGGGGGCGTGGGTTCAATCCCTGGTTGGGGAACTAGGGTCCCGCATGCCACATAGCACAGCCAAAAGGATGAAAAAAAAAAAAAAAAGCACGGAGGGCTTCCCTGGTGGCGCAGTGGTTGAGAGTCCACCTGCCGATGCAGGGGACATTGGTTCGTGCCCCGGTCCGGGAGGATCCCACATACCGCGGAGCGGCTGGGCCCGTAAGCCAAGGCCGCTGGGCCTGCGCGTCCGGAGCCTGTGCTCCGCAACAGGAGGGGCCACAACAGTGAGAGGCCCGCGTACCGCAAAAAAAAAAAAAAAAAAAAAAAGCATGGAGAAGGTGCTCAAGAAATGTTTGTTGGCCTGAACTACTGAGCGGGGAGAAACCCCAGGAGGCTCAGCTCCAGAGGGGTCAAGAAGGGAGGTCATCACACAGGGCTAGCTGGTTCCAAGCTCACTGCCCCCCTGCCCCCACCAGGACCCCCGGCGCTACGAGGAGTGGAAGTGGTTCCGCTGCCCCACCCTGCTGGAGGTGCTTGAGCAGTTTCCATCCGTGGCACTGCCTGCCCCACTGCTTCTCACCCAGCTGCCCCTGCTCCAGCCCCGGTACTACTCGGTCAGCTCAGCACCCAGCACCCATCCAGGAGAGATCCACCTCACAGTAGCTGTGCTGGCATACAGGACTCAAGGTGAGGCTGGGAAGCAGGGGCAGGGCCAGGAGCACACCGTGACCCCGGGATGGACCCCTCACTGGCCCCCTCCCTCCCCAACCCCCTAGATGGGCTGGGTCCCCTGCACTATGGAGTCTGCTCCACGTGGCTGAGCCAACTCAAGGCTGGAGACCCCGTACCCTGCTTCATCAGGGGGTAAGTGAGCACTGCCGGGGAGGGGGGCCAGCGGGGCACCAGGAAGAGAGTGTCTGTCCAAGCAGGGGTGGCAGAGTGCGTCACGGATGGCCGAGGACAGGTGGAGGGATCGGCAGGCAGTTGCACAGGGTGAGGGTAGAAGCTTTGGTGAAGGTGTGATTGGGAGCAGGGACGCCCCACTTAACATATCCAGGACGGGGCACCCACTTCACAACTCTGGCTAAGTTTGGGGCCTTTCACTAATTTGGACTTAGGGTCCTATCTTGAAACTGCAGTTCCCAGAGACGGGGCTGGGATTCGATCCAGCAGGCCCTGCTGCTTTTAGACGGTGTACGGTGTCCCTCCCTACATCTCTGGGGTCAGTCTGATGTTGGCAGGCAGGGTGCTTGGGAACTGGGCCCCATCCGCATTTAGTCCGGGGAGAACTGGTTAGGTTACCACAGTAACACTGAGCACTGGAGGAAAGGGAAGGATCTCAGGGTACCCCTCCCTCCTGCTGTGTTCAGAATTGCCCCATCCAGCACCCAGGAGCTGGAAGTCTCAGGTGGGACAAAGAAGTGTTCCCAGGATGGTACCAGCTAGGCCTAGTGACCCAAACCCATCCAGCAGGCTAAATTACAGATAAACTGCCAATCTAGTGAGTACAAACCAAATGCCAATGTCGAGGCTATGGTTTAAAACAAAGACACTCAGCGAACCCATGATGAACTAAAAGGCTGTCTGTCCTTCCCTCCCCCATACTTTCTATATCTCCTGAACTGAAACACCAAAACATTCTTCAATTCAAATTTAAGCTTTATTTCCTTTGACCCAACCTCCAGAAACCACAGGTCCAGGAAGTTTCTGCCAATCAGCAGAGTTCTTTTATTAAACACTTTGCGTTTACTGTGAGCTAGACACAAGCATTAACTCATTTTCAGCGGAAGTTGAGTTCTCCTCTCCCAACCCTGCTGAGGCTGATAAGAATGGGGGATATGGGGAAACAAAGTGGGCCTGATGGAGGGTCTCTTGGCTAGGGCTCCCTCCTTCCGGCTGCCGCCTGATCCCAGCTTGCCCTGCATCCTCGTGGGCCCGGGCACTGGCATCGCCCCCTTCCGGGGATTTTGGCAGGAGCGGCTACACGACATCGAGAGCAAAGGTGAGGCTGGGGCCCAAGGGAATGACTGGAAGGCAGGAGGGAGTCACACAACTTAGGGGCACAAAAGAGCAGGGGGCTAGAAGGCAGGAACCAGGTAGGAAAGAGGGCAAGGAACAGGGCCACAAAGGTGAAAAGAATTTTATTAGACCAGGGGGTCGGAGGCCTAGAGGCAAGGGCAGTGCCCTGTTGGTCTGGCTTCCTGGTGCCCAGCACAAAGTAGTGTTGGATTGGATTAACAACAAAGGGAACCCGGATGTCTGGAGAAGATGGGGCTGGGACTCAGAAGACAGATATGCCCCAGGTGGACTCTGGACTGTGTCAGAGGTCACTTACGTGTGTCTGAGACCCAAGGAAGCTACAGGGTGTTCAGTTTGGGCATGGGGTGCCCAGGGGAGCTGGTAAATCAAAAGAAGGGAGCTTGTGACTAAGAGGAAGGTGTAGAGGGCAGGAACTGAAGGTGTGGGAGAATATGGACTTAGAGCAGGGAAGGGGCCAGACAGTCTCAGACTGCAGTGTTGGATGGTACAAAGGGCATGGAGTCAGAAGCCCCAAGCGTAGCACAGCGTCACTACTGGCCATGCCACCAGAGGGAAGTCACCATCTCCTGTGACCTTCGGCTTCTCTGTAAATCAGCGTCAGGCAGGATCTCTGTGAAAGCATCCCAACCCTCCTAGAGGCCAAACAGCTGAGTGGTTGTTTCTGCCGTAAAGGGTGGGCCCCTCAGCCTGGGTGAGGGTAGCCAGTGGGAGGGCCAGCTAGGGCTGTGTCCCCAGGAGGGGGTTGGGGGGCTCTCCCAAGCCGCAGTCATGCTTGCAGGGCTGCAGCCTGCCCCCATGACCTTGGTGTTCGGCTGCCGGTGCTCCCAGCTCGACCATCTCTACCGCGAGGAGGTGCAGGATGCCCAGCAGCGCGGGGTGTTCGGCCGCGTCCTCACCGCCTTCTCCCGGGAACCCAACAGCCCTAAGGTGCGAGACCCTGAGGGGGCAGGGGTAACCCGGGGCGCCTAGGCCCAGGCCCAGGCCGGCCCCGCCCCAGGCCGGCCCCGCCCCCTGCAGTGCGCACCCTCCGCTCGACCCAGTGGCGCTCAGACGCCCGCCCCCACTCGGCTCCACCCTCGTGCCAAGGCCCCTTTGGGTCTCACCCACCCTCACCCATGCCCCGCCCCTTACTTGTCTCCGTCCCTTGAGACCCCACCCCAGCGCACCAAGGCCCCACCGGGTGCGCTGGGTATCTTTCCCGCACCCAAGACCCGCCCTGCCCGCTCCCCCCGGGGCCTGCCCTTCCCTGCCTGGTGCCCCGCCGGGGTCTGCCCCTGACCCCGCCTCCCCTCAGACCTACGTGCAGGACATCCTGCGGTCGGAGCTGGCTGCTGAGGTGCACCGCGTGCTGTGCCTCGAGCGGGGCCACATGTTTGTCTGCGGCGATGTCACCATGGCAACCAGCGTCCTGCAGACGGTGCAGCGCATCTTGGCGACAGAGGGCGACATGGAGCTGGATGAGGCCGGCGACGTCATCGGCGTGCTGCGGGTGCGGAGGGGCGGGGCCGGGGGCCGCCCCCACTCCCGCTGGCAACTCCGACTTGGGTTTTGATCTCCCGCCCTGTTTCCCCTCCAGGATCAGCAACGCTATCACGAGGACATTTTCGGGCTCACGCTGCGCACCCAGGAAGTGACAAGCCGCATACGCACCCAGAGCTTTTCCTTGCAGGAGCGGCATATGCGGGGCGCAGTGCCCTGGGCGTTCGACCCGCCCGGCCCAGACACCCCTGGCCCCTGAGAGCCCTCTTGCTTTCCGCTTCAGTTCGCGGAGAGAGGGGCCGTCAGACCGGAACCAGCCACCTCTCCCTCCCCTCCGAGGTGCCGTCCCACCTCTGTCCAGAGTCTGCAGAGACTGGCCTGATTCCCCGGGAATATCTCTTTCTTTGTCTAGGTCTGTTTCCCTACCCTAGGTCTGAGTAAATCTGGAAGGCCGTCTCCCAGCAGTGGTATTCCAGAGCCCTTTTGTGTTATTTAGGTGAATTTTAGATTCCCCTCACCTCTCTCGGAAGTATCTTATCTTGAAGCCTGATCTCTAAATCATTGAAATATTTATTACTGACGATTCACCATAAGAGACCAGATCAGAAGTTATGAGAGCTACTAAGATGCCTAACCCAGCGCTGTCAATCACAGTTACAGAATGAATGACAAGCTTTGTCTTTGAACCCGTGCAGACAGTGTGGAGGTGGTAATTCTTTGACAGGGAGTCCTGGAGAACAGTGGTGGTCTCCAGCCAATCACGGGCAGTTCTTCTGTGTTGCTCCCTGATCTGGACTGAGAAGCAGGTGCAGTCGTCAGCTGACAGGAGTGGGGATTCCAGGACTAAGGTCGCAAAGCTGTGCAGCACAGCCATGAGCAAACTTTACTGCTTGTTTCGGACAGGACAAGGGCCAGACCCGCTTCCTCAGATGTCACGCCAACGTGAACTCCGAAAACGTCAGGCCTCTCTAGTCTTCCCACCCCCAGTCCCCATGCCCTTCCGCAAGTCCCATGGGAACCTAAAGTCCAGATGTGTCTAAAGAACCTACTGGGGCTTCCCTGGTGGCGCAGTGGTTGAGAGTCCGCCTGCCGATGCAGGGGACGCGGGTTCGTGCCCCGATCCGGGAGGATCCCACGGGCCGCGGAGCGGCTGCGCCCGTGAGCCATGGCCGCTGAGCCTGCGCGTCCGGAGCCTGTGCTCCGCAACGGGAGAGGCCACAACAGTGAGAGGCCCACGTACCGCAAAAAAAAAAAAAGAACCTACTGCCTTTCGGGTCCAGCCCCTCATGGCTCCCTTATGTACAGCTTGGCCTCCATCTTGGCTCTGCCCTCCAACGTGAGGTCACTTGGGTACTTCTTCCCAGGCGACCACTCCAGGACAGATAGTTGTCTCTTAGCCCCTCCGTGTGAGGACTGTCTCTAAGACATGTTTCCCGATGCCTTGGGCATCTCCTCTCCTACCCTTTCTCTCTTCTCCGGGGCGAGTTCCTAATTGACTCCCAAGTTCCGCCCAGCTAAAGCATCCATGGGGGTCTTTAAAGAGGGCTCGGCGTGCCTTTCCACTCTACCTCGTCCGATCTCCTGTGGCTGGAGAAGAAGCCAGGGAACCTGGGGGAGGAAAAACACTTGACAAGCAGTCCAGGGGTTTAGGTTCCAGAGATGACCATCCCCATCACCGCTCCCATACCTCTGAGTCTGAGTCCACCCAGTGTCCTACTCGTTGCCCTGCCTCCACCCCAGTTAGACAATACTGGCCATGAGCAGCCCTCTCAGTCAGTGCTAGTGGCCTGGCCAGCCTCCTTCTGGGTGTCTGTGGGCTCCTGAAACCCTCCAGGGAACAGATTCTGGGTCCTCTGGGTTCTCCACTGCTGTCTGGGGCTGGAAGCAGGACTGGAGCCTGGTGAGAAAAGCCATCAGCTGGGCAGTGCCATGATACCTGCAGTTCACCCAGGGTCTGTCCCCCACACACCCTGACCGCCTCACCATCACTGGACCAGGATGGCTTCTCCTCGTCCGGCGAGAGTGTCTGCGGCGGGCTGGCCCAGGGCCTGGACAGGGAGAAGGCTGAAGCCTCGCCCCACAGTTCCTGCTGCTGCTGCCGATGGAGCTAAATGGAGAGAAGAAGGATGAAGGGCTCCCTCCGGCCCTGCAGCCTGAGGCCCAGCCCCTGGGCTCGGTGCAGAGGGTGCTGAAATCTCCTCCCCCACCCTCAGCTTGGAGCCTGTCCCTGGCTGTGCGGGGCTGTGGTTTGGTAGGAGTTTGCCTGCCTCACTCAAAGCAGAGCTGCGTTCCACCCCCAGCTCCACTGCTTGCCCTCTGCGACCTCGAGCTAGTCACTTCACTTCCCCTAGCCTTAGGGCCCTCATTTGTCAGATGAGGACAATGGGGCTTCCCTGGTGGCGCAGTGGTCGAGAGTCCGCCTGCCGACGCAGGGGATATGGGTTCGTGCCCCGGTCCGGGAAGATCCCACATGCCGCGGAGCGGCTGGGCCCGTGAGCCATGGCGGCTGAGCCTGCGCATCCGGAGCCTGTGCTCCGCAACGGGAGAGGCCACAACAGTGAGAGGCCCGCATACCGCAAAAAAAAAAAAAAAAAAAAAAGAGCAGTGACTAGCCAGTGGGCGGGGCTGTTGAGAGGATCCCAGGAGGGGAGTGCGAACACCCACATGTCCTCGCATCCTCGCCCAGTGTCCCTCGGCACGAAACCTGCACCTTTCTTTCCCTTTCTGCCCCCCCGCCCTCCCTTCGCCTTGTCACCAACAAGGGCCACCTTTTAGTTCCCCTCACCCTCTTCTGAACTGTGTTCTTTCCTGTTGGGTAAATTCCTTACACTCCAGCCCCTCCACACTCTCCATTTTGTTCAGCTGCTTTCTCCCCGCATTTCTCTTTCTGGCACCCCTCTACTCACCTGGTGCAGGTAAATGGCGTGGAGACTCAGCAGACACAAGCTCTGGGAGCTGGGCCAGCTTCTGGCCCCCACTGCCTCCTGGGGACACACAGCTAGAACAGAGGGCACAGTGCATGAAAAAAAGACAGGTCCCCCCATCCCCACATGCCCCAGGGAGGGCCAGGTTTCACCTCTCCTTTCTGGTCACCCCCGCCCCCATGCCCCTGCACCCTTCTCCTGGAGGATCAGCCCCACCAGCCCTGCTCCCTGCGTCTCAGGCCCCCACCCCTCACCTTGAGTCCTGGGTCATTCGGGAAATGGAGGCCAGGAGGCTGGCCGTGGCTGCAGCTGGGCAGGGGACTACGGGGCTCAGGTCCTGGGGGGACACGAGGGGCTGCATCGAGAGGTTGGCCGGGAAGGCCTCTGACTGGGCGCAAGAGAAGAGAGGGTGGGAAGAGAGGACAGGAGGGGAGGCGGAGGTCTAAGGAAGGCAGGAGAGCGGGCTGAGCTAGTGAGTGGGTTAATACAAGAGGTGAGGCAGAGGGGGGAGGGGCCGGGGGGGAGGGCAGCAGGGCAGGCAGGCTTCGACTCACCAGAGGGGAGGAAGAGCTGCTGAGGATCCCAGGGCTGGGGGGGCTGCGAACCGAGCTGGCGCCCCAGGCGGCTGCATCTTGTTGCACCCGGCCTCGAAGGTGCCCCAGGAACTTGGAGCTGTGGCTTGGGGGGCACCGTTGTGGATGAACCAGGGAGAACCTCATCAATGAGAGCTCAGTCTTCCCGTCCTCAGCCCACTCAGACAGTGAGGCCTCTGTCTGTCCCTCTTTTTTTTTTAGGCCGTGCCACGTGGCTTGCGGGATCTCAGTTCCCCTACCAGGAATGGAACCCAGGCCCTGGCAGTGAAAGCACCAAATCCTAACCACTAGGCCACTGGGGAACTCCCGTGAACACCACTTTTATAGCTGTAGTGGGTGCCACCTGGGGTAGGCAGGACAGGAAACACTAGCCCCCCATTCCTTCTTTCCAGGTGAACTGGAAAGAATGGGGACTAGCTCAAGAACACCCAGAAACACAGCCGCAGAACTGGACCCGGGTGCAGACTCAGCACTAGGATACGGCGGGACCTCAGTGTTTTGCCAAACCTGTTCACACTGGATACCAGGGCTGGCCTGACTCCAGCCCTGTCCACTGACCGAGACGTTCCCATTTACAGGTGTTATGACGTGCTGGGAACTCTGGTAGGGCTCTACACATGTCATCTCACGTAATCCTCATAAGAGTCCCACGCACTGTCCTCATTTGACAAATGAGGGCCCTAAGGGGAAGTGAAGTGACTAACTCGAGGTCACAGGTGGCAGGCAATGAAGCTGGGGGTGGAACCCAGCTCTGCTTTGAGCGAGGCAAGCAAACTCCTACCAAACCACAGCCCCGCACAGCCAGGGACAGGCTCTTACCTGAGGGTGGCCATGGCGCTTCACATCCATAAGGGCAAAGGAACAGATGTCCCCAACCGCGGCCACATCTACAGCGAAGTGACGAAAAAAGTCAATGATCTCCAAGGCGCCAGGGCGAAACCAGAAGAGCAGAAACAGTGGGGCGAGGACAGGGGACAGGAGCTCCTCCGTGAGGGAGACCTGGGGAAGCAGGGCTGAGGCTAAGAAGGGGTTGCTGAGGGCAACCAAACTCGCCAAGCAGGAAACCTCCAACGCAGTCATTCCCCGACGCCCGGGAGGGCCAGCCCTGAGCCCCTCTGTCCCCAGACACCGCGGGCAGCCAAGCCTCCTCCGCAGCCCCGCTACGGGCGTGACCCTCACCGCTCGGTGTTGCAGCAGCCGCGCCATCTGCCGGTAAGAGCTGGTCCTGCCGGCAGGGCCGGTCGCCTCCGGGAGGTAGTGCGTGTGCGCCAAGGCCGCCGGCAGCAGGATTTGCGGCGAACGACCTTGGCCCTGCCCGCCCGGAATGAAAGACCTAGAGGGCGGGATGGGGATGGAAAAGGGGCCTGCCGTTTAGAGGATGTGCGGCTGGGATGCAGGGCTGGGGGGCCACTAGCGGTGGAAGGGGTAGGGATGCGCGGGAGGCTCAGCCCCAGGACAGAAGAATGCCCCTCCCCGGACATCTCCCCCATCGCACCTGGCCACTGGCCACTATCCCGAGCGCAGTCATGGCGGTGAGCACGTGCTCCACGTAGAGCACATCCTTGTCGTAGACGGTGAGCACGAGCAGCGCGGCGAAGAGCGCGCCGGCGAAGAAGACGAGCTGGCGGGCCAGCAGCGCGAGCACGGGCGCGGGGGCGCGCAGGAAGGCGGCGGCGGGGCGGGAGGCGCGGGCCAGGCGCGCGCGCAGCTCGTGCGGCAGCTCGTTGAAGTGGCGCAGCTGCTGGCGGGCCAGGCGGGACCAGCGGCGCGTCGCCAGCGCGCCGGGCTCACGCCGCAGCAGCTCAGCGCGGCTGTAGAGGGCGTGCAGCACTTGCCAGGCCAGCACCAGCGGGCTCAGCGCCAGGTTCACGGCCGCCAGCAGCAGCACCATGCGCCGCCAGCGCGCGGCCAGGGCGGCCCGCCGGTCGCTGCGCTTGTAGGCGTCGGGCAGCTCCTAGCCGCCGCGGAAGAACGAGAAGGGCCCGCGGGAGAGGAGCAGATCGAGTTGGGCGCCAGGCCGCAGCTGAGGAAGGCCGCCCTGCCTCCCCGGGGCACGGCGCGACGGGCCGGCAGCAGGCCCTTGTTGGCCAGCGCCACCTGGTAGTTGGTGTAGCGCAGGATGCGGTGGTGGGCGTCCAGCTCCGTCAGCGGCCTCGGCTGCCCGCACAACCCTCCGCTCCTCTGCAGTGCCAGGAGGCGGGACTGCACCTCGGCCCAGGGCACCGAGCTGAGCTCCTCCTGCGGAGAGGGGACGCCTGAGCGCCAGCCACCTGGATTCCTCTCCACGGCGATGCCCAAACTCCCCGTGACCAGAGATGTGTATCCCCGCCGTCCTCACCCAGTGTCTCTCGGGCACGAAAGCTGCCACCTTTCGCTTTCTGCCCCCTCGCCCTCCCTTCGCCTTGCCACCAACAAGGGGCACCTCTTAGTTCCCCTCACCCTCTTCTGAACTGTGTTCCTCGGGCCCCTGCGCCTCCTGAGGCCGTGAGTCATGTGCTTCCCAGGAAGAGCTCATAAACCAACTCTACATGTATCTGAGCTCAGCTCCGTAAGAGCAGGTTTTCCTGGCCACCGCTCGCCCACCCGTGCCCGCAGCCCTACACATACAAGGTACATCAGAGCTGCAGGTAACAAGGCAGGCTCTTTCCCGTTCCTGGGGTACCAGCCCGCTGGGCCCGGAAGCCCCCAAACTTTTACCTCAGCATGCTTTGAGACACACACACACACCCCGCCCCATCCCACTCGAACAGATTAACCTTCCTAAGACAGTGGCCTTATCCCCGTCGGGGTGGAGGCTGTCAGATCTCACTTGGAGCTCATCTGCAAACCTCATTTTAGCCCAGTTTTACCCAGCCTCCCCAGTCCAGCTTAGTCAAGTCCCTCCAGGCCAGCCTCTCCAGTCCATCCCAGGGTCTCCCTTTCCCCTGGAAGGAAGAGGGGAAAGAAGGAAGGAGAAAGAGGGGTCAGGCACCTCCTGGAGGAGCAGTGGTCCAGCTCCTCAGCTTCCCTGCCTCCATCCCCAGCCCTCGCGACTCTTTCCTGTGCTATGGCTCATGCTTCCGCACTCAGGTGGGCTTTCGAGAACCTCTCCCCTTTGCTGCACAGGAGGGCTGTGTAAAAGTCTCTGCACTTCTGAGAGGAGCAGAGAAAGCTGGCTGCTGAAAGTAGCCTTTGCGCCGTGCCTTAAAGAAAGAACTTGGGGGGCTTCCCTGGTGGCGCAGTGGTTGGGAGTCCGCCTGCCGATGCAGGGGACGCGGGTTCGTGCCCCGGTCCGGGAAGATCCCACATGCCGTGGAGTGGCTGGGCCCATGAGCCATGGCCGCTGAGCCTGCGCGTCCGGAGCCTGTGCTCCACAACGGGAGAGGCCACAACAGTGAGAGGCCTGCGTACCGCGAAAAAAAAAAAAGAAAGAAAGAAAGAACGTGGGTACAGAGCCAGAAGGAGCATGAGCGAGATGGGGAGGAAAGAGCAAAGCGTGACCAGGGACAGTGAAGGGGCCGACGAAGTAGCTTCCTGCAAACAGGGGCCAGAAAGGGGGGTGGGCTCACTGACGGGGGCCTGAACACTCAGTTGCAGGCTGGTGGGTTAGTCTCCTTACTGCTGCCCAAAGATGCGCATTGCTTCCCCTGCCCCCTTCCTGCCTGGGGTTTGGAATGCCTCCCCACCTCCTATCCTCCCCAGCCCAAGCCCAGTTCCTCCTGCTCTGGAAAGTCAGGTGACTGCCCTTCCTCTAAAGACCCATTGTTTGGACCACAAGCACGTGACTGTGCATCATCTTCCATAACCATCTACATCAACTAAGCTCCACAACAGGAAAGACCTTGTGTTCTAAGAGGCGGTACCCCACCTCCTAACATTATTCGGGGCCAAGGGTAGGTGTCTCTAAGGGCTTCTGCCCTCTTCCCAGTGGATCCTTCTGTCAGTACAGCTCCCTACTCCTCCCCACCCTCCACCCCCTGACATGGCACGCCTCCACAGACACGCTCACCCAACTCACTGGGGGGATGTGCAGGGCCTCCCTGGAAAACACCTGGATGTCCCAGTAGCTGAAGAGTTTGCAGACCGAGCGAAGCAGCTGGAAGAGCCAGACGGCAGCCGCCAGGATCAGCAGGAAGACAAGCAGGAGCGGATCCTGTGCCAGGCGGGACAGACGGAAGAGAGAAAGCAGCGGCCCCATAGCAAGGGAGACCTGGCTTGGGGAGCGAGGGGGTCCTGGAGAGGGGACCCAGCCAGACCGGTGGTTCTCAAAGTGTGGGCCCTAGGGGTCCCCAGACCCTTGTGAGTGTCTGCAAAGTCAAAACTTTTCATATAATATTAAGGTTTTCTGCCATTTTCATTCTCCTTCTCCCAAGAGTACGCAGTGGCCTTTTCCAGCGGCTACGTGACATCACGGTCAGTCGATGGAATGTATGTTTGTCCGTTCTTAGGGACAGCTTTAATCTCTAACAAGGTGGATCTAGATAGGATTCTCATCAACAAAAGGTCTCGGGAGTTGGGTTCTCGATCAATTTTAAGTGTATCAAAGGTGGCCTGAGACTAAAAACTTGGAGAATGGCTGATCTAAACCAAGGGACAAAAGGAGGGGAGGCTTCTGTCTTTGTCGGTTGCTCTCCCCCATCACCTCCCCCACCAGCTGTCACTCACCGCTGGGCACACTGGGATGAGGGTAGGTTAGCATCTGACAAGGTCACTTTGCTGTGGAGCGACCCAGGTCTTGTTCGGTTTTTTGGTTGGTTGGCAAAGAGAACGCTGTAATCCACGCAGCGAAGAAGGAAGGTTGTGAAGGTGACAATGAAAATGAATCGTCTGGGACAGGAGGGAGTGCAGTGATGAGGCCTGCGGGCTGGGAGGGCTCCTGCCCCAGCCTCCGGGCCCGCCCGGATTAACCCATCCTGCTGAGCCCCTAGGTTGCCTGGGAAGGCACTGGAGGCCCAGAGGCAGCAGGCACTACTGAGGAAGCAAGGGGAAGAGCTTGGAGTCTGGGACAAGCATCTCACCCCAGCTGGAAGACATCCTCCAGCAGGATACAGGCAAAGCCACTCCTCTGGTGGTAGCTGTACATGTGGCAGGGCGTCAAGAATTAAGCCTGAGGCATGATGGGCCTTTCCTGAGGACGCCGACTCCTCAGCCCCCAAGTCCCCAGCCCACTGCCTCCCTGTCTCCCTGTCTCCCGTGCCCCTTCTGCCAGGCAGAGCACAAAAGGATATCTTGGTGAAGAAGCTGTCCAGGTTCTGGACGTGGTGCCAGGAGCCTGGGCACAGAGGGGAGAGCGTTGGGACTCACCTGCCTCCGTGCCCTCAAGCCTCTGCCAGAGGCCCAGCCCAGGGGACACTCTGGAGCCCTGAGGCCCTCCCCAGCCCCTCACCTCGGAGCCCTTCAGGCACGTGAAGCAGGGGCTGCTGCCCCTCCCCATGGAGGGCTGAATCTTGGGACCCCTCAGGGTCACAGTCCTCCAGCCTCTCAGAATCCTGCTCAGGGATCAGAGGGCCTCTCCGCAGCCCAGGAGGGTCCTGGGGGCATCGGCATGGGGCAGGGGCAGGGTGGGAACCCCAGGAATGGGGAGCAGAGATGGGCATCATCGCGGGCCGGGCTGCGTGGCGGGGGTAGCGGGAGTGGGGAGGGTACTATAGCGAGGCTGAGAAGCCCCTGGGGCCTGCACCGCTGGGTAGGGGGGCCCCGGGGCTGAAGGAGGAGCTGAGGAAGGCGTGCTTTTTGTGTGAGGTGCAGGGGCCAGAGAGAAGATGGAGACCCTCCCTCCCCCAGGTCCCCGACCCGGAGGAGGAGAAAGAGGAGGCAGTGGCACGGGGAGGAGGGGCACGGATCCACGCCCCAGCTGCCCCCGGTCCCCACCCCCCGCCCATCTGCCTCACCATCAGGCCAGCGGCATCTCCTGAAAGCTTGGAAAGATGGGAGCTGCTGCTGTTTCCGAAGAGGTCTGCGTTGCTGAGCGGGGACTTCAGCAACCAGGACGGTGACAACAACAGCCCGGTGACCCAGTTGGGGCAGGCCTCAGGCGTCCCAACTCGCAGTCACCAGCCCGACCACCCACACCCCTTCCAGGGCAACCCGCGGCCAAACCTCTTAGGGCCCCGCCTCCATGCCTGGCAGGGCAATACCTGGAGAGGCAGGAGCAGACTAGCGGCAGATGGAAGGAGATCCCCCCGGTCCCACCTTCAGACCCCCAGCGGACTTAAAACGGGAAGCCAGAGAGCAGAAGCCGAGAACAAAGACAGAAAGAATCTAGTTAGGATTATAGGGCTATGGGGCCAAGATATACATCTTTAGTTTCTTAAAACCTTATCTCAGAATAAAACAAAACAACTTATCTCCCCTCCCTATATACACACACACAGAGTGATCCACAGAGAAACACTTGAAGACCAAACACAAAAAGAAAAAAAGGAAATGAGAACGGCTGCATGTTTTGCTTGTATGACAGTGCTAAGGAATGGAAAAGGGGAGACCGTCTGACTTTGCAGCCAGGGTGGGGGAGACTGAGAGGGAGCAAGTGAAGGGAGGAGAGGCAGTTATTTGGGACGAGAGGTGGTTCTCGGAGATTTTACAGTAGGAAAGTGGGGTTCCTTGGAAGCTCCAGTATGTTTGCTTATTTATCCTCTTGAAACCCCCTCTACCAAGTTCTGATCCAGTTTTGGGAGCCCCCTGAGATGCATCAGGGCTGACCCAGCAGAGGGCAGCTGAAGGTCAGGAATTTGGAAGGGCAGGTAATTTGGGTGCCCCAGGGATGAGCTGACTGAGTTGAGTTCCTCGTTGCCACCTCAAGGAGGAGGCGGAGGCCCAGGCAGCTGGTATGGTAGCTTGTCCAATACCATTCTTGAGGCCCTGAATCATCAGGTTTCCTACTGAAGTCCATTCCTGAGGTGCTGACTCAGCCACCCATGTGTCAGGGCCTCCAGGGCTTAAGCCCAAGTGCTGATGTAGGGACCAGTGTCCAAGACATGGAAACAGAGGAACAGAGTACATCCCAGATTGCCCACTGGAGGAACTTAGAGGAGGAACCTGTGCTTCCTTCCTGGGAGGGGAATTGTCGTGGTAGCTCAGGACTTGCATAGTTTTATCCCCGAGCAGGAGGCAGAGCTATGAAAACAAGACTCCTGGTGCCCAAAATGGAATCCCACACTGCAGAGGGGCTAGGAAATTCCCATGATCTCTCTGAGACACCTGTCAAAATCAGGTATATGGGGTTTCCTCTGGTCTCTCCCCAGCCTCACTCACCCTGATATTCCACCATACTCACTTTAGGACCCTCCCATACAGCCTCCTCACCCAGCCCAACCTCAGACTAATCCTGACACGTTTTCCTACCCAGTTTCACTCCAGATTCATCGATGAACAGCCTCCCTACCACCGGCCCCAATTCACGTCAATTTATTATTAAGGACACTCTTCCCTGCCAGGCATTTGGAGGGGAAGGAGGGGACGGATGAATGAGACAGAGCCACTACCCAAAAGGAAGTCACAGCCCAGTGGGGAGGCAGCTATGCAAACAAGTAATTACACAGAAGAAATAACTAAGAGTGAAACAGAGGTGTAAGAGCTGTGCGGTGGCAGCTTCAGGCACAGTCAGCCTAACTGCGGTAGGAAGGCATCTGTGGGGGAGATGGATTTAGGGTCGCGCCAGCGGTTCTAAACCATTGAGTAGGGGCAGCTTATCAGAATCACCAGGGTTTTTTTTCCCCCAAATATATGTGGCTGCCGTCCCCGGAGCTCCGACTCGCCTAGGAGAGCGGGGTGGGTGGCAAAGCACGTGCACATGTTTTGAAAAAACTCCAAACGGTTTTTGTCCGTTAGTCTCCCAGAACCAGCGGTCTACACTCCCTGGAGACTCCGGAACATCTAGAGTCCGCCAGGAGCGCCCATAAGAGAATGACCCGGAGGGCAGCAGCTGACGCGTTACTATGGATACCCCAGGGCGGGGGGACGCACTCTGCACACCCTCAAAACGTCACCCCATAGCCGACTCGGACGGCGTGCACAGGGCAGGGCCCGCCCGGAACTGGGGGCGGGAGACAGGCGACTCTCTGCAATCACTGTCCCAGAAGGGGGGCTAACAAGGTTTTCTCCAATCACAGCTTGCAATGAAATTGATGCTTCTTTCCACCAATCATCGCCGAGTCGCGAGGGGGTTGTCGGGATGGGGGCCGGAGGCAACATGGAGCCCTCAGTGGAGTAAGGGTGAAGCTGCTGTTGCCGGCTGCTCCTTTTCTACCCCCACCATGTTGGTGCACTTATTTCGGGTCGGGATTCGGGGTAGCCCTGTCGCAGGCAAGCCACTACTATCCCTCCGCTTCCAGACATTCTCGGCCGTCAGGTAAAAAGGGACAAACCTACTGGGAGCGCGGACCATTGACCGGCCGGCAGGGCGTGGGGACCGCCGGGAGATGGAGTCCCGGGCTCGCGCAACGCCTGCTGGGAGTTATAGGCCGGCCCGGCCCGGGGTTGAATGTCATTCCCCCGGGGATTGGCCTCAATTATTTAAAGCGAGACTTGGGTGCCAGCAGGAGGCTCGGCGCGTCTGTATCTGCATGTGTGCTGGACGGAGGGGGCGCTCTGGCCGGTGACCACGCTAGGTCTCTTCCCACCAGCGGGCGCCGTGCTGCACAGGTGTCGGGCCCCCGTTTCCGGCCCCAGTCCTCGTTCTTGGAATTGGTCTGGCGATGTGGACAAAAATTACTAGTGTCCGGAGACATTTAGTATTGCTGTTGTTCCAAAAATTCAGTGTGAACTGAACAAAAATGGTTACTAAATCGGGATAGTTTCAGCAGAGATAGTCAGTTTGGTAACGCGTATGTATGTGTTCTTGTATGCTCTATACACGTTCGTCTCAAGAGAGAAAGACACAGGTGGGAAACGAACGTGTACCCTGAAACTGCCACTCCGCTGTAAATGCTTTATGAGAAGCGACTGATGCCTTTCTAATCCTGGAGTGAAGAACCCGAGAGCCAGGCAGGCAGCAGATTCGTAGGGGCGGGTGGATGTGGGCTTGTGTCCTTTGGAAAGCCCGTCTGACTGATGGAGGGCGAGATGGGCGGAGCTGCAGCTAGAAGTACCGGTGCTGGGAAGTAATCTGCCAGTTCTTGGCAGTGACCAAGCACTGCTTAGACCTTAGTTTGGAGAAGATGAGAAAAGCTGGAAAGTGGCCATGGTAAATTATTAAAAGGCTTGAAAACAGTCCTTAGGAAAAGAGTAAGGGTGTCGATGTTTTTTAACCAGAGCGAAACTCCAGAAAAGACATCAAACAACGTTTTACTATTTGTGTGTTCATAGTGTAGTGTTTTTAAAACGTCAGGCCACAACACAATAGTTCATAAAGTGAATTTAGTGAGTCTGAATCATTTAAAAGTGAATATAATGGAATAAGTGTTAAAAACAAAATAGGGGGACTTCTCTGGTGGCGCAGTGGTTAAGAATCTGCCTGCCAATGCAGGGGATATGGGTTCGATCCCTGGTCCGGAATGATCCTACATGCCGCGGAGCAACTAAGCCCCTGCACCACAACTACTGAGCCTGAGCTCTAGAACCCATGAGCTACAACTACTGAGCCCACATGCCACAAGTCCTAAAGCCCGCATGCCTAGAGCCCGTGCTCCACAACAAGAGAAGCCACCGCAACGAGAAGCCTGCGCACCGCAACCAAGAGTAGCCCCCACTCGCCGCAACTAGAGAAAGCCCACGCGCAGCAACGAAGACCCAATGCAGCCAAAAATAAATATATTAATTAATTAATTTTAAAAATTAGGGAGGGAATTCCCTGGTGGTCCAGTGGTTAGGACTTGGTGCTTTCACTGCCGGGGCCCGGGTTTAATCCTTCGTGGGGAAACTAAGAACCTGCGAGCCGCACAGGACAGCCAAAAAAAATGAGGGGAAGTACTGTTTTGTGAAGCATTTCAGTTTTCTGTGACATTGTGCCGGATCGCAAAGCAAAACATATTTGTTACTGTCATCCACAGTAAGTCTAAAGCTTTGCAAACACTGCAGCAGCGAGTCAGGGCAGCTTGTTCTGCATTTCTAATTAGAGCATGTGCTCGAGAAACATAACCATTTGCTGAACACTGTTATGTACCAGAGCTCTGCTAAGTGTTGGGGATACGGTGGTGAATAAGATAGGGCTTCCCGCCATCAAGGAATATATGGTTTAATGAGGAAGAGGGGCATTTACACAGGGCAGAAGGACATTGAGCTTCTCCGTTTATATTTTGGATAGATATAAAGTACACAGTGGAAGACAGGCAGGTGGATGGGGTCGGGGGAGGTGTAATATAGAGTTGGCAAGAAGCCCAGGCCTCCCTGAAACAAGGGAAGGTTGAGATGGAGTGTGTAGTTAGGAGGATCTGGAAATATGAAAGGCCATCATAGTAAAGAAGAAACCTTTCATCTATTTGTTTTTTAAAAGCCTCTCCTCATCAATAATCTCATTTGGATCTTTGATCGTCCTACCATATACTCTTGGCCAGATAACTTATGCTTCTAATAGGCCTCCCTATAGCCACTCCTGTCATTCTCCAGCTCACTCCCCTCTGCAGTGATCTTTAAAATGCAATTATGGGGACTTCCCTGGTGGCACAATGGTTAAGAATCCGCCTACCAATGCAGGGGACACGGGTTCAATCCCTGGTCTGGGAAGATCCCACATGCTGCGGAGCAGCTAAGCCCGCGAGCCACAACTACTGAGCCTGCGAGCCACAACTACTGAAGCCCGCGCACCTAGAGCCCGTGTTCTGCAACAAGAGAAGCCACTGCAATGAGAAGCCTGTGCACTGCAAGGAAGAGTAGCCCCCACTCGCAGCAGTGAAGACCCAACACAGCCAAAAATAAATAAATTTTTTAAAAAAATTTTTTAATAAAAAAATGCAATTATGATTATGGTCCTCGTTGCCCTCTCAAGTCCAGGTGTTTTAAAAGGACGGTAATGGCTCCCCCCACCCCACCCCCAGCCTCCAGCCTCGGCAAGCTTTGTCGTTAGTCGTTTGTACCCACACGCACACTAAAGCTTAACTACCACAGTGTAGTTACTCGGTCTGTACCGTTCACCCCCTCTTCCTGTTCCACAGCGCAGGGCACTGACGCACAGTAGGCTGCGGCCCTGTGTTGCCATCTGCAGGTACCGGAACTGCAGGAAAGGGGTGATCTTGGCCTATCCCAAGATGACAAGATACTACGTTATTTGGATTTTATTTCTTTTTCTTCCTTCAGCTGACAGAGAGGGCGTCTGTCACCCTTTCCTTCCTTGCCTTGTCACGTAAGCGCTCAAGGCCAGGAAGGAGACAGGGCGATGGGATATATAATAAGCTTCCGACCAGCGGTCAGAGACTTGGGTCCAGGCCTGGCCCTGCCACACATAACCTCGGGCTCATCACACATGGCAGCATAGGATGAGCCTGGATTCTGGAGTCAGACAGCAGGGCTCCTCTCTTGTCCTAGTTCTGCTGCTTGGGGACAAATGATTTCAGCTCTCAGCCCTGCAGGATTTTGTCATCTATCAAGTGAGAATACTGGCCTCTCCCTCCCAGGGATGTGAGGATCAAACAGAGTGGACTGATGACTTGGTGAGGTGCGGGGGCACTGTCCCTCTCCGAGCTGCATTCACTGGGAACTTCTGTGTTCTCCACTGTAAGAGGAGCGCCGTCCAGCTCTGATGTCCTGTGATTCTGAGAGAGCAGGGGTTGGAGATGGTCACTGGCTGGGGCCCGCCGTCTGAGAGGCGAGCCAGGGAGAACACCTTTGCCACTCGATTGCTCTCCACTGGGCGTGTTCATCTCAGAAACCGAGGTTGCTTCAGAGCCGCCCTGAGAAGGGCAGGGTGGGCCGTTGGGAGAGGAGCTGCTGCTCTCCAGAGGGCTGAGCCGAGAGCTCGGCCGCTTTGTTGTTCAGCTGGGGACCAGCTGGGCCCTCGAGCCCTCAGTGCCGTTCTCTCCCTGCAGGTCCCGCGATGGCCGCCCCAGCTCCTGCCTCCTCGGGGCCGTGGCCCGGCTGCAGCCCCAGCTCCGGGCCTGCCTCCCTCGAGCGCCCCCAGCTCCTGGCCGCAGCCCCTCTGCCTGGCTCTGGGTTGGGGGAGTCCTCCTGGGCCCCGTGATCCTGAGTAAGTGCCCCCGCCGCGGCCTTGTGGCACTCTGTGAGGCAGAAGCGGCCCCTCCGGCCTGCTCCGGACCCCGTGTCGTGGAGCCCCGCTTCAACTGGAAGCTCTTCTGGCAGTTTCTACACCCCCATCTGCTGGTCCTGGGGGCAGCCATCGTGGTGAGGTTTTCTCCCGCCCCGCCCCACGCCACGGACAGGGAAGAACCCAGCCAGGGGTTCGCGGAAGCCCCAGCCAGAGCCGCCTAGGGACAGCTTTCCTGCCTGGCCGAATCTCAGAGGAGACCTCGGGAAGCAGCGGGGCTGGGGGTCACCAGGAGGACCTGCACAGGGCAGCTGGGTGAACAGGGTCCAGGGGTCCCCTGGGGCTGGCAGCTGGGCTTTAACTCTCCGAGAGACACAGGAGCCCCCAAAGCGTGGGCAATAGTGGGAGAGGAAGGGCCGGGGTTAGGGAAGAGCGTGGTCCCCCTGTAAACGTCTGTCTCCCACCCCCCAAGCTGGCACTGGGCGCAGCACTGGTGAATGTGCAGATCCCCCTGCTTCTGGGTCAGCTGGTGGAGATCGTGGCCAAGTACACGAGGGACCACGTGGGCAGCTTCCTGACTGAGTCCCGGAACCTCAGCACCCACCTGCTCATCCTTTACGGCCTCCAGGTACAGCAGAAGGGAGGGCCCGGGGGCCGCCAGCGGAACCGCGCGGGCGCCCCTGAGATCCTGGCCTCTCTCCCAGGGCCTGCTGACCTTCGGGTACCTGGTGCTTCTGTCCCGCATCGGCGAGCGCATGGCTGCGGACATGCGGAGGGCCCTCTTCAGCAACCTGCTCCGGTACTGCCAGCCTCGGGATGTGGGGTGCAGTGGTGGCGGGGACCAAGCGGCCCTCGGG